AATGACCTCAGACAGGTCCCCTTCTTACTCATGAAGTGGCCCTTCTCACCAGGTAGGAACTGCAGGTGAGCACACACCCTGAAGGTGGACCCTTGGGTGCCCCCATGGGGATTGGCTGGGGGTAGAAGGTCTGGGAGGCTGCTGGTGACTTCAGAAAGGCTCTCAGGGACACACGCAGCAGCTCCCCCATGAGCAGCCCCCAGGTCCCCTCTGCCTCCTCCTCCTCCTCCACTTCCCAGTGCTCCAGGCTCAAGGCACCCCAGGTTCTTTTGAGAACATTTCTGGGAGAGGAGGCAGCATCTGGAAGGCCACAGGCATGCTCCTTCTCTTGAATAGCTATGAGGCCTCCAGCAAGATACTACTTCCCTGAGCCTCAACTTTCTTGTCAGTAAAATGGGCACACCTCACCCACCCAACAGGACTTACAACTATACCAGATGTAAGTCCAGGGAGAGGAAATCCAGGGGCAAAATCCAGGAAATCAGTCAAAGGGAGAAATAAAGTTTAAAACCTATTTATTGCTTACAAATTGCAGTCTGGGGCCATTTCTCTCTCTTGCTCCAGCAGAAGCCAACCAGCACTCTCCCTAACCTCTCAAGTTCAGATAAGCTCTCTGTTGTCCAGGTAATTATCAAGTGATATGGAGATGAACTTCTCTCCACCCTTGAGGCATGCCTATTGATATGCAGAAGCACTAAAGTCATACTTTTCTCTACCCCTGAAGATGCATTAAAGCCAGGTGAGATAGTCTGGAAATATTACAATTTTACACACACTGAGAATGAGAGGTACTCCACAGTGGGCCTTTGGGAGGGTCTGGTGGGGCACACAGCAGAGAAACGGGCTGGAAAACAGTGACAGTAAAACCACACTGGAGTGTAGCTCCATTCTAAGGGCCCTGGTGCTCACAACAACCCCCAGAGCTCCTGGGTCATTGCCCCCATTTTACAGATGAGGACACTGAGAGGTGAGTGGCCCTGAGCCCATGCTTCCAGTTCTTATTCTTATTGAATGTCAGGCTTCCTCCTCCACCACCACAGGGCCCAGAACCAAGCTGCCAGCATCCTTCCACCCCCACCCTGCATTACTCAATTTGTAGTCCATTTTCCCTGGAATTGGGCCCAGCAGCCATCTCATCCACATGGTCAGAGAGAGAGTAGGGATGGTGCATGGGTGGTGGTCCTGGTAGCCAGAAAGAGGAAAGGCTTGCACAGGTGCCATTGATATGCCAGGCTGGAGTCATGGGCAAGAGCTAGAGCAGTTCCTTCCCAACTGGAAGCCAAGAAAACTCTGAGCCGTAGCTTCTCCTCAGCTCCAGGTTGACTCCGGAAGAGCCCTGTCTCCCCTCCTCCTACCCCTGGACAGCCCATGGGTGTCAGTCATGCACACAGCTCCTGGGGGCAAATCCCAGCTCTTCTACTAATGAGCTGTGTCACCTGTGGTGAATAGTTTTCTCAGTCTTAATTTTCTCATCTATGAAATAGGGAAAATGATACCTGTTCCCCCTTTACCCCCAGGTTATGAAGCACTGAGCTGAGATGATGCAGAATCCCTCCACCTGTAAGAGGAGGCACCCAGGAAATGTTTATTGAGCAACTGGACAACTGACCAGGTGGCACCATTCCACTTTTAAAGTGCTCTGGCTTTGGGGCTGCAGGGACACCATGGTAAGCCCTGGCATTAGGTGTCTGGGGGAAGGGCACCAGGGGCTGAGTGACCACAAGGGAAGCCACACAGGCCACAGAAATGGTGCCTGCAACCCCAGCCCAGCCTGCCCAGCTTCTGCCCAGCATGAGGGTCACATAGAGTCTAACTGTGGGAGAGATTACCAGCAATAGCCCACATTTTAAAATACAACTGCCCCAATCACAGGGTACATAACCAGCTCTGTGTATTACCTCTTGATGAGGAAGAAAATGAAAATGGCAAAAAATACACACTGCCAACCATGTAACTACATTCCACAATTAGTTTCAAACTCTATGTGGTCCCACACTCATGCACACAGCCTCAGAGTCAGGCAATTACACACCCCAAATTCACACACAGCCTGTTACTCACAGCCACAATCAGAGTCTTGCACCCACTACGGCTCAGCATACAGTCATGTCTGCCCTCACAAAACAGCATGTCACTCAGCCTCACCCACAATTCTCCAGCCACTGCTGCTAAAAGTCATCCACCATCCCACATGGCCCAGCACACCAATAATTGTTTACCCAAACCCCCACGTAGCCCTATGGCTCCCAGAGCCTGTCACCCCACCCAGCTCATGTCCTATGCCTTATATACAACAGGTTCAGGTCCTCTTGCAAAGCCCACAGGCAATTTGTCATTTGCTCAGAACATCCCTTTGAAAGCCTAGTAACTAGGCTGGGGTCGCCCCAGGGCCTCTGCCCACCAGAAGCATGCACTGTTTCTGCTGCTTTGCCTACAAAGATGCACTTTGCCCACCGCCAGCAGTGTTTCTGAGGCTTGGCAGCAGCTTGTGCCCGCCCCTCCTGCCCCTGCTCTAACAGGAAGTCTAGGTAGCTGCAGGGCTCTCCCAGGCAGGGTGGCCTCCAGGCCCCTTAGGGCAGGCGTCCCCAGCAAGAACGCCTGTTGGGCCTTGCAGCAGGTGTGCTAGTCCTGCCCTGGGCCAGCCTGCACCCCAGGTGGGGCAGGGGCCCAGCCCTGGTACAAGAGCTGCCTAAGTCCTTATACCAGGGCCTCACCTGGAGCTATGGTAGGACCCTCAGGCCTCACACTAGGTAGCAATGGTGTCACACCAGCCGACATCCAATAGACTCTCCTAACGCTGCCCCCAACCCAGGCTGGATGGCAGGGGGCTCACTGTGCGTTCCACTCTGAGGCAGGTCCTGACAGGGCTGGGAGAGAAAAGAGACAAGGATATCCTTGGAACCTCTGCTTACTGCACCCTCAGTCTGTATGGAAAATGGGAGGTAAGGGGAGCACTGTCTGCACAAAGGCTCCCTCCCCTCACCAGCCCCGTTCCCCACCATTCCCCAGCTTTGGATGCCACCAAGTCACTGAGGACTCAGCATGTCTGAAGGGCAGCCAAGAATGAATCCAGCATGGTGGGAGCTCACAAATCACTGTGGGTGGTGGTGAAGACATAACGTGCATGGTGGCAGCAGCCTCTGGCCTTGGCTGGCACTGGTTGGCCCATAAGTCCTATGAGAGGCTAATGGCCTGGTGGCCTGAAGAGGGAAGGAGGACAGAGGGCAGAAAGGGAGAGGGAACTGTTACAGCAGAAAGGACCTGGTGGGCAGTGTGGGAGGCCTGCTCCCTGGGCCTGTAGCACAGGGCTCTGGGCACCTCTAGGGAAAGGTAGAGCTCTGGAGCCAGGCCCACTGGGAGGATGAGGGGAGAGAATTGAAAAGAGCAACAGGAAGAAAAGGATTGATGACAGAGTGAGAAAGAAGGGCAGGGAGGCCAGTGACCACAGAGCCTGAGAAAACCATGTCGTGTCCCCCCTGAAGGGAGAGCACCCAGCTCGGACAGGGGACATGCGTCTTTCCTCATGTACCTCTTGGGGGCAGTCACTGCCACCCACCATTGCCCACAGTGACACATGTCAGCAGGGACCACTCAGGGCCGTATCCCCTGGCCTCATGACCTCAGAGTCCCAGGGCCTTCCTGGGGGCTACTTAGGGTTCCATGGGCCCTGTGGGGCTCAGCCCCAGGAGGGCCCCCAGAGGTGTGCAATATCCAAATATATCCTGGGGCTCTCACGCTGCTCCTCCTGAAGGCTGCCAGAAAAAAGTCCTGGTTGTGGGGTGGGGCAGGAGCTGCACTGAGGGTCTGGAGCACCAGTAGCTAAGCCCAGCCCACAGCAGAGCTGAGAGGCAGCTGGATCATGACTCCTGCCCCAAAATGCCCAGGCCAGGTCTGTCTTTATGAAATTTTCTTCTTTGCCCCCATTAATTTTTACACTGTCTCAAGACTTTGTAGAACAATAAATCCACCCCTCAAGATCAAATTCTGGCAGAGCAGTAGCTCTCTTAGATAGCAAAGAATGCAAAAAGACAGAGGCCAAAGACTGTTTCCTGCCATCAGCTGGCTGTGTGAACTGAGATATGCCCCTCCAAATGCCCACAGACTTCCTCAGTTTCCCCATTGTTTCCTGAATGGGGTTAGATTATCCCTATGTCCTACCTACTCAAATGTCCTGAGACTTTCTGGGAAGACCACGTGTGATCCTCAAACCAAGGAGCAGCCCTGCTAGCCCTGGAAGGCCTCTGATGAAGGTGAGACCTGAGGGCTGCAGTCCTCCAGGGGAACAGGCAGAGCAGCCAACAGCACCTGGGCTAAAATGCCCAGTGTTCCAGTCCTGGCTGTGTGATCTCAGGCAAGCTCTGAACCTTTCTGAGCCTCAGATTCCAAACTCTGGGAAGTAAAGATAAAATCATTTCCGAAAAGGCCTGATACAAGGGCTGCATACTAACAGTACTTAGTGGGCATCTCAAGTTACACCTGCAGATGCAGCTGGGCTCTCCTCCTCAGTAAGACCGACACCAGTTAGAATCCTCATGGGAGAGGACAGTTATCATACACATGGCCTTCTCCTGTTTATCCTTCTATCCCAAGATATTAGCTTCTTCTAGGTGATAGTCGTGTGTATTAGTAAACAGAGGTGGGCATGAGGTCAGGTGCACTTCATTTTCCAAGGTTTTACATTCCCTTCCAGGGATGGGGGTTTAAAGGACACTTTCAAATGGTAATAGATGCAGACTTGGTGAAACATAATTAGTCTTGGGACTAGAAGGATAAACAAATGTGTAATTCATGAATTTGCTAATTGTCCTTCATTTTGATCTTCTGCCATTTTTCCTAGACTCTCTGACTGACATCCGAGCTCATGGCAAGAACTCAGGGAGTGCCAGGAACTAGCCATGGAGGCAACTGGCACTGCAGCTGAACCCCTGGACTTGCCCTCCTCCCAGCCACCACCCCCAGCCCAGACCCCACCACCCCAGATACAGCACAAGGCAAGAAGCCATGGCACTCAATCTTTTATTTTCTTAAACTGTACACAAATGTAAAATACTTTAACAGCAAGTCTATGGGAAAATTGTTCGGTTTTAAATTATTATGAAACAGAACCTAAGGGGAGCTTTATTAAATAAACATAAAGATGGGGATTTAAGGATACACACCTGCATTCTACCATAATCATTTTTACTCTACCTTCTGGGTGTATAAGGATAGAAAAGACACATCAAACTGAATAAACAAAATCCATTTGTACCCTGAAACATTGGCAGGCCACTCAAGGGATTGTTCAGAATGTCTACCTCATATAAGATGGCCTCATCATCTAATAAAAATTTAAACTGATCTGTTGGCCTCTTTGGTTCCAAAATTATGTACAATACATTTAACTGTGGTTTTTTTTTTTTGCTGCTATAAAAATAACTTCTTTTTTCAAATGGCAGTTTCTGACTAATCATGCAACTAAATCAGTGCAAACATTAAAAGCAATCATTCGCTTAAAAAAGAAGCAAAGGATTTCATTTCAAGTATAAAAAATATAAAAAGAGTCATATGAGTCCAGTTTCATCTGGTGTGGGTCAACCCTTTAAATTGCATAGTTCATGTGGCACTTGGACTTCTAGGGGTGAGCAAGTTCAGTGCTCTACCAAGGGCCGCTTCTGGACACACACAGATGGGCAAGTGCTCTATCATGTGCATTCAGGCATGTTGGCAGGTGCTAGGAGGGGAAGGTAGGAGGGGCAGGTGTGTGGGAGGGCAGGCAGGGCAATGGCCTTGGCTGGCCCTAGTGGCAGGGGCACACACAGGCAACTTATGCAAAGCAGCTGAGAGCCTTCCCCATCTCTCTAAGCCCAGCTAAATTGCTCCCCTCTGTCACCCCTGCTGAGGGGACACTCCCCCCACCCCACCCTCCACCCAGCATTTCTAGAATGCCTCCATCTGACTATTTCCTCCTCTGGGCTCATCCCCATGCCTAGGCGTCATTTCCATCCCTCCCCAACCAGTCCCAGAAGAATATCCACAGTGAAGGACACAGATTGCAACCTTTCTATTTCCCATTTAGAACAATTCAGATTTTAACCTGAAAGGTCATACCTGGTGGAAAAGTCCTTTTTCAATTCTACAACTGGAATGACCTGTCAAATGCTAAATAATCAGTTAAAGCATCAGATTAGGACCCTTCTCCTCTCCCTCCCACCCCACCCCAAAAACAAACACACAGAAGTCCCACCAGGGACCCAAGCAACAGTCAAAGGGGCATTGCCACTGCTCCACAGTCTTAGCAGGTTGTGTCCTTTCTGGGCCTCTTTCCCTCTACAAGGGTGGGAAGAGCCAGGTTCCCTGGTCCTGCAGCATGCAGGATCCCAGGCAGGGGAGGAAGCCAGCACATCTGAGCCAGGAGATGCTGAGACACAGCAAGGCGGGACTCCTAGCGCACCTGCCCCTGCATGCTCCCCACCCCTGCATCTGCTTTTCCTCTCCATGGCTCCTTAGTGCAGTCTCTCAGTCTCTTGTGGGCAGAGAGAGAGAGAGAGAGTGTGTGTGTGTGTGTGTGTGTGTGTGTGTGTATGTCTCCTTAGTGCAGTCTCTCAGTCTCTTGTGGGCAGTGTGTGTGTGTGTGTGTGTGTGTGTGTGTGTGTGTGTCTCCTTAGTGCAGTCTCTCAGTCTCTTGTGGGCAGTGTGTGTGTGTGTGTGTGTGTCTTTGTGCTTTTATGTGTGCTCGGAAGGCGCGATGCAGAGTGGCCGGGCCAGCTGGTGGGAATGGTGGCTGCTCAACCCATTCTCTCCAACTGACAGGCATTTGGAGCTAAGCTGCCATTTGTCACTGCATCCATTTGCTGGTATCCTGGAGGCTGCTGTGTGGGTGGCAGGATGCGTCTCGCTGTGCATGTCTGCATATGTGTGTCAAAGTATTTCATGTCAGGTGAGGGTTCTCACTCTTGCTTTGACTGATTGCTCCATGAAGTAGCAGGAAAATATTTCAGGCTGCCCCCTGGCACCTTCTGGGCAGCCCAATGGAAGGACTGCACCCAGCCAGCCTCACATCCCATTCCCACAGGGGCTGGAAGAAGCCCTCCAGGGACTGACCTCGCACCCCACCACCACAGCCTTGCCGCTGTCAGGCGCAGCCACACTCCTCCACAATCATGTTGGGTACATCCCGCTTGACAATGTTGTACTCGTCATCAAAGTAGAGCATGGACATGGTGCTCAATTTGGTGGGGATGCAGCAGGAGTTCACTGTGCCAGGGTTCAGGCCCCGCATGCGGTACTGGTTCACCACAGCAGTGTGAAAAGAGGAAGCGGAGCCAGGGACCCCCGCCAGGTAGGCTGGGCAGCTGCCCTCGCAGTAGTTTCCGTAGTAGCCGATGGGTGCGATGATCCAGTCATTCCAGCCAATGAGGCGGAAGTCGATGAAGAACTGTTGCCTGCAACAGAGGTTGGTCCGGCCATCGCACTCCAGACCTCGTTTACGAATGCGGTGCCTGCTGTCCCCCAGCCTCGCCTGTACAACTACAAAGGGCCGGTGTGATTCCTCACTGGGGTCCACAAACACAGGCACCACAGCCAGCTCCTGGCAGCTGTCACACTGCACATCCAGGTTGAGTCGCCGCTCTCCACGCTCAAATAAGGCCTGGATGGCCTCAGTGAGTGGAAAGGTGTGCCAGCCACTGCGCTTGAGGTCCACCTTCTTCTCTACCACATTCCACCGGTCACCATGGCCCTGCTCCTGAAAGTACACTTTGACCCGCACCTTCCGACGACTGCCCTTTTCCAGAACATAGGGCAGCAGCTTCAGGTAGAGCCACAGGCTGGCCTGTACCACAAACAGGTTCTGGTTGCCTTCATTGGAGATGAAAAAGTACAGGCGGACCCGGGAGGAGGCGAGGCCATCTGCAGAAAAGTGGAAGAGCAGGCCAAGTTAATTCAAGGAGAACACGAAGCAATGGGGAAAATAGGGTCTCTGCTGCATGATGCTAGAATGCAAACTTGCCACGCAGCTGGAAGACGTTATTGACCAGAAATACCATTCCAGGGACCAGGGCCTCTGACTGTAACCTGGGAGGCAGAGAAAATCATTTTCCATTGAGAAACCTGGACCAGGTTGGAGCTGGAGGGTCTAGGCCTATAAAATCCTGCCTCACCTCTCCCAGACCAGGGCTCCCTGGAGACAGGCTGTCAGGCCTCAAAGCTCAACAGAGGAACTTGTCAGAAGGCCAAGATCTTAACAAGTTGTTATGGGTATATGTGAAATCTGAAAAACAAAACCAGGATTGGACCAAGGATTTTGGGGTGGGTTGTTTCAGTAGAGGTTTTTTCTGGGGTTTTTTGTGTTGTTTTTTTTTTTGGTTAAGGCATTGCAAAAGCAAGCTGGGCCACCTACCGCCTCTTTCGTGTTTACCTAAGCATGATCTGATCCAACCCCCAGTGGAACCTCCACTACAAACAAGTGAGCTCTGCTCAGATTTCTGACACAGAACATGTACTTTGCAGACTGCAAAGTGTAGCCCTCGTTTCCGAGTAGTTCCAAGGGACAGGACATTCAGCCTTGAAACTTGAGGTCCACTCCTTTCACAAGACCCTGGCTCGTTAATGACACGTTCAAAATCTCCAAGGAAAAGGGCAACTGGCTTATTAGTTTTCTCAGTAATTCAGCTCAACAAGAGAGACTATGCCAACTGAGAGATGACTCCTCTCTCATCCTACATTTCAGTGACTCTTCTCTCTGACAATCTCTACTTTTTTATTTTTTATTTTTTCTTGCAGTAAGAACAAATAATGAAACTGTGTGGCCAGGGCTGGTTCTATCAAACCTCCTACATCTGCCCAGCAGCCCCTCCTCAGGCCTCGCCTGGCTCCTCTAATAACACTGACATCTGACTTTGAAATGGGGTAAAGTGCAGCCTTAAAAGCTAGTCTTGGACAAGCTGCCTGTGACCTGAATCTGTTATTTATAAGTCAAAGAGCTGGCTCTGTGAAACGGACCAGAAATATAACAGCCCCCGCTGTCATTTTGTGCCACCGGGACCAAAAGGCCTCCTCAACCTTCCAGAATCACATTTCTACTCTGGGCCCCAAAGCACCTTTTAATCCAAGCTCTCTAATTGCATATAGAGCTTTCCTTGACTCGGTCAGACAGCTAAAACGGCAATGCATTTCTTTCCAAGCACAAACCAGCCCCTGATTGTCTCTGCTTTTCTCCACACTCGGCCATGCAAAACTTTTCATCCCTTTTCATCCCCGGGGCACCAGCACAGTCTGCCTACTGCCTAGGAGGGTGGGGGGCATTTGTAGCCTGAAAACACAACTGCTTCCATGCCCCAAGCTCCCTGCTCACCCCCACCCTGCCAGCACCAGGGCTTCCCCTTCTGCGACCTTCTCCGCAGTCCCCTCAGTACAAACGCGGCTGAGCTCCAGGCACAAAAGCCAGTCTAGCTCATTCAAGTCCTGAAAAGGACAGCGGAGCTGAAAGTACTTGCAGCATTTCAGCGCGGGCACATTTTTCTTCTTTTAAAGTTCCAAAAGATATTTTTTCCTTTCGATTTTTATATTTAGAAAGTGGTAGAATTTTGCAAACCTGGGCCAGAGGAAAATTCCATAAAGGACTCCCACCCTTTGTTAACTACGAACTCTGCGGCTCTCAGCTAAGGGGGTTTGCCGCAGCTGCCAGCGAACTGAGAGACACCGGGCTGCCTCTGAGCCGCGTCTTTCTCTGCGTAAATGATGGGACCTGTTGAGAAGGCTGCCTTCCGCCCGATTCCGGTGCCCACACAATCGGAAAAGAGGTTGCCTAGCTCTCCCCAGTGAGGCTTCAGCAATTCTGGCAAGCCCACGCCGCCCGGCGATGGAAGCAGCCCCGGGGCCTCTCACGCAGGCACACACACACACACTCCTCCGTCACACACACACACACACACACACACACACACACACACACACACTCCTCCGTCCCACGGATATCAACAAGCATACACATCTCCAACCATACTGCTAAGCCTACACTCTGATCGTGGGAAACAAAAACATTAAGCAATCAGCAAGCAAGTGCCCCGGGAGCCAGGGCCGCACGCATCTGCCAGGAGGAGGATGCGCGCCCAGGGGCGCTGGGGCCCGATTCTGGGGGAGCAGGGGTGGAGGGCAAGGCGTTCCGCGGTGGGGCTGGGGGAGCAAGATGGGGTCTTCTGCCCGGGGGAGGATGATGGCAGTCGGGACGGAGCGCACGGGGCCAGCGGCAAGCGGCTGGGCAGGGAGTCCGAGTTTGCCCCAGAGCGCTCTGGCTGCAGAGGCCAGAGCGGGCAAGGAGAAAGGGTGGTGAGGGAGTGAGGGCCACGGCTGGCCGCCCACAAAACCGACCCACCTGTCTCGGCGAAGCTGATGATCTCGGATACGCGCTCCTGGCCGTCGGCGCCCGGACTGGCATGGCCGTCGAGGTGAGGAATCTCCAGGCGGCCGTCCTCCCGCACCTTGCCCGCATGCAGCTTGCGCAGGGCCGTGACCATGGCGGCCTTGGGTACGGCGTGCGTGATGTTAGGCCGGCCACGCATCTGCAAGCGGCTCAAGATGTGCCGCTTTACCGCCTCCAGGAAGTCGCCGTCCACCCGGCCCAGCTCCTCCGGCCGCCGGAAACCGCCGCACGACGTGCAGGTGTCCTGCAAGCCGCCGAGGCCTCCGGGTGGCGGGGGCGGCGGCGGCACGGCGGGCGACAGCGGGGGCGTGGGCGACCCCCAGGCCTCCGGCCCCAGCCAGCCGGCCGCCAGCAGCAAGAGGCAAGCGGCCCCCAGCGCCGGACCGGGCAGCCCGTCCATGGTGCGCCGCTGGCGACGAGGGCGCCCGCCGTGAGGCGAGCTGAGCCGAGCGCAGGGCCGGGCTCCTGGCTCCCGGCGCGCCGCCCCGCCCCGCCCCCGCCCGCCCGCCCGCCTGGGCCTCCGCCCGCCCGCCAGGAGGGCCGCTGCCGGCTAGCTGGGGGAGGGGGCCGGCCGGCCCGCGGGGGTTCCCGCGCGGCGGGGAAGGGGCGCCGAGGGCCGCGGGGGCCCGAGTAGGCGCGCGGGACGAGGAGGGGGCAGAGGGGTCACTGCCGCTCGTGCGTCTCAGGACGCCTCGGCATCTGCAGCCCTCTCCCCATCCTCTCCGCGTCGGGGTTCCGCAGCTCTCGGCTCGGGTGAAGCGAAAGCCGCGGTAGCTGCGGCTTGGCCGCCGGGCAAGGAAGGTAGCGAAAGGGACGGTCAACGCAACTTGACCGAGATGGAAGCTAAGGCTCGGGGGTTCCCGGAGCGAAGTCGGGCTCGGCTTAGTGCGGTGCTGCTGCGGGGCCCCGCGCTCGCACCTGAGCGCCGAGGAAGGGCCGCCGACGCGGGCGACGGGCAGGCGGCGGAGCAGAGTGAGCGCGGTACCGGGAGCGCCGGAGAGCGCTGGCCGCGCGGGCCCGCTCAGAAGCAGCGCGGAACCCCCTGCCGCCGGCCCTGCAGTCCTCCCGGCGCGTCACCCGACAAAGTTGTCTGCAGGCTCCCGGGGCGCCGCATCCACCAGCAGGCGGGCCGGCCGCTGCGCGCTTCTCCAGGGCCTCTGCTCCGCCTCTTCTCGCAGCCTTCCTCCGCCGGGCGAGCGAGACAAGGCCCTTCTCGCCCTTGTCTCTTCCGCCTGCCCCAGCGGCGGCGATGTGAGTCCGAGCACCTGAGAGTCTCGCAGCGTCCCCGCGTGCGGGTGCCCTAGCTCGCTCTCGCACTGGCACACGCCGCAGGGCCGGAAGAGAGCAAGCGGGTGGCGGCCGCGTCCCCGCGTCCGGCTGCAACTACAGAGCCTGCCGAGGACTTCTCTTTGCCCTCTCTTCTTTACTCTCCTTGTTTTTTTCCTGCCAAGGGGTAAAAAANTGAGATAGACTTTGGCAGAAAAAAAAAGGGGTGGTGGTGGTGGTGAGTGAGCCTAGTCCTGGCCACGCGGAGGAGGCTGTCCGTGCCTTCCCCTCTGGCTTCTCGGCAAGGGGGAATCTGCTCTGGTCGCTGCTGCCCGCTCCCCCTACCCACCCACTCTTCCCTCCGCTTTCTTCCTTTTGGCCTTCAAGCGCAGGAGGGGCGGCCCAGCGCTCTTCCCTCCCCCACCCCCCGCCACCGCAGTACCGGGCCACTTTTGCTCTCTCAAAACTTTCCCACCGCTTGAGCGTCCAGACCCTCGCCCAGAAAGGCCGCGGGCGCAGTCGACGGAGTTCCCGGCCCAGGATGCCTCCGCTGGCCCCCACCCCGCCGCCGCGCAGGCCGTGCCCTTGTCGCTGTCGCTGCCGCTGCCGCCCTCCGGGAGAAGCAACTCTCCCCGCCGCAGCCGCCCTCAGTCTTCCCGGGACTCTCCCTCGCGGGCCTGACGAGACGGGGTGGTGGTGCGACCTCGAGCGCCGCGGGCCGGCTCCGCCAGTGTATGTCGCTCCAGGGCTGCAGTGCCCTAGCCGAGCGCCTTGGGTGGCTGGCGCAGTGGGCGAGGCGTGGGCCCCGCGGTTTGACGGGTTGCGCTACGCGGCGCAGGAGGCCGGCCCAGCCGCTGCCGCTGCCTGCTCTGAGCCTGAGGGCTTGCTGGCTAGCGCGGTCTCCAGCGCCACTGCTTCCATCCTCCACACCCCCTCGGCTGGCAGACCTTAGCCTCGGACAAGCCCGGGTTCCGTTCGAGGCTCAGCCACTGCCCGCCTTGTAGAGTGACCTTGGAGAGAGTCTAGTGTCGACCTCATATGTAAAGGGGGGACAGTAACACCCTTGTCACACAGGTTAACTGGGAGCCTCAAACGAGGCGACTGTGCCAGCCTCCTCGCAGAACCCAATAAACTGCGAGTCCAGGGTACCATTCTTGAGCCGCCAGACAAGAGTCACTGCCAGTTGAAACCGAACTCCCAGACCTGTTCAGAAACCCAAATGCAATCCGTCCTTCAGCCCCTCTTCACGCCCCGACCTGGGTGTGGAGTAGCACGACAGTGCCCATGGGCACAACGCTCCGGGCCAGTGCGCTCCGTGTGGCTGGCCCAGACCCCCACCCACGGTTGCCGCGCCCCGCAACAGATGGAACTGAGAGGCGGAAACGTGGTGGGAGGTCATTCTGGCCTTTCTGGGATATTGGGCAATCCAGGAGGAGAAAGGCAGGTGCGTGGCTCCCAGCTCGGGGCTCCTCGCTCGGCCCCCAGTGCCCCGTCGCGAGCTTCTGGAGCTTTGGGGCCAGCAGTGCCGCTGCCGAGCTCCTCCCGACCGCCGCCCGGCCGAGGCCGCAAGTCTGGAGGCCGAGCGCCCCCTCCCTCCCGATCCGAGGAACCTACCGGCCCGAAGATGCCCAGGCTGCGTCTTTGGGGCAGAAATGGAACTGATCTGGGCTTCCCAGCCAGAAGTCAGAGGCAGGGACCCAGGAGGGTCGAGATGCGCACCCTGTCTCCCTGCTGAGGGCTTCCTCCAGAGCCCAGCTGACTGCTGCATGCTAATACACAGGACTCCCCCGTCCTGGAGTTTCCACCCCTCACCCTGTCCCAAAGCCTGTTATCCCTGGGCAGAAAGTAAGGGCTTCTGCCTTTTGGGCAGCCTGGACTGGCACTTTCTGTTTGGTGGCCCAGAGCCAGGCTGGACCCACCTCCCTGGTTTTGCTTACACCAGGCACACACACTCTAGTTCCTCTAGCTCTTTCCATCACCACAGCCAATGACCACTTGGCAGGCTCATTCTTGGTCTTCCAGACTCAGCCCAATCCCTCCTCCTTGGTGAAGCCCACTGTACCCTTCTTGTGCCCTAAATAGTTATGTGCCAGATTAGGTCCCTCTGCCCAGTGCTTGGAAGTTATCGCCTCACCTATTTGCCTCCTGAATGGAGCCTTAGGCCCTGGAGGACCAGGACCAGGCCTCACACACCTTGATACCAGACCTGGCAGGTGCTTAGGGGTGTTATTGAACAATGCTTGGTTGATTGAGTGGACGGATGAGCGAAGTCATGAAGCTAGTGAAGGATCTAACCAGGGAGGCCCCCCTTTGGGGAGGTGCTGCAGCCTGCACATTGACCTGGCTCCAGGCAGAGGCAAAAGGCATTGTGTCCTTGCTGCTTGGAGGAGGTAAGAGAAGGTTGAGAAGAAGGTCCACATTTTGCTCCCTGGGGTGGAGGAGCTGTCAGTTCCTGCTACCAGTCATCTGCTAGGAGGGAACTGGGTCAAGCGGTAGTCAGAAACCATCTGCTCGAGAAGCTGGGATTATCCTGCCCTCTGCTGATCCCCCAGCCCACAGAAGCCAAGGGTGTAAATTGAGTTCTTCCAGATCACCTTGTGCTTTGCAGGGAGCACCCCATCCCCAACTGAGGGGCAAGACCTGTTCCTGTTGCTTCAAAGCCTCACTTAGCACTGGGCTCTGTTCTTGTACTGGCGACCTCAGCCCTCAGGCTCACCCAGGGATGTGGCTGCAACTGTCAGTTTAGAATACAATAATGCAGGTCAATGCTGTAGCCAACACCCTCCACAGGGGCTGCAGGACCAAGCCGCCCCCACACAGAATGCTGGCTCCCTGCTGCCATCAAGGAACTCAGGCCCAATGAGGAAAGTAGGAAGAAAACATGGTGACATCAGAGATTTAGATACGCAGAATGTGAAGAAGAAGGCTTCCTCTGGGCAATTCTGAGCACTTGCTTTCACAACAGATTTTTTTGCACAACCCATAACTAAGTGTCAATTTGGGGATGATAAAAATGTCCAAAAGCAACAAAACAAACCTTAAAAATGAGTCTTTGGGAAAAAAAATGAGTCTTTGGGCTCATTTGCTAAAAGAATTGAGAAGCCAAGGTCATTTCTTGGCCACGTGGCTCCTACAAGGTGTGAGGCTGAAGAGAAGGCCTTCATATCAGTGGCACTTGGGGCCCGGATCAGAAAAGGCTTTTTAGTGGAGTTGTGCTCAGGGACCTGGTGTTCACTTTTCTATCACTGGTCAAGAAGCCACTGTTGCCAAAAATCACTATCTGGAGTAGCACACAGGAAGGAGCTGCCTGACCAACCTGGGATGTCCTGCCTACCTGGCAGCCCAAGGCATAGGAGAGGAACCAGGTGGTGCCAGGTGAAAAGTAGGGTCTAGCCCAGAGGACCTTATGGCAAGGTGCCATGCTAACATTTGTAAAAGCTCAGACACCAGCACGGAGCCCTTGAGAATGCCCCCAAGGCCTCTTCATGCCTTTGAGGTCATGGAGGCAAGTCCTTGATGAAAGCACCGTGTGGGAAGGTTATTTTGATAAGACATCCCTGTATTTCTCACCAGGGCAGCTGGATGGTGCCTGCCTTTTGAGGATCCCAGCAGCTGTCCACATCCTGAGGTTCACTGTGGCCTCGGCCATCTCTGAAACTCATGAGCTTTGGGGCTGAGACTGTCTCTGCTATTCACAGCACCTGTTTGGGGGATGCTAATGAACTTAAATCAGTTCATCACATGGAACAAATGAAGGAGCTGAGCTGCCCATATGTGGCTTGAGGATTCCAGGGCAGGTCCCCGTGTTCTGGTCAGCCCATGTGGCAGGCCACACATGCACACTCCTTCCTGCTTCCTACAGGCATAAGCATGCTGACACAGGCAGTTACACCTTTGCGTGATCCTGTGCTTATTCCCAAACTAGATTTTCACACAAAACCATCTTGTAGGGCTTCTCATTTCACCATACCTCCTGAGTAGACTCCCTCAGCTCCCAAATCCCTGAAAGCCACTCTTTGTTGGCAAGAATCACACAGTTCATTGTGTTACCAGCCCCATTCTCAGTAAGACCCAGGTGCTGGGAACGAGCTCATCTGGGAGGCCCTGGAGGACTCTCTTCCACTTCACTGGCAAGGACAGGGGTGGGGATCCTGGAGATGGTGCGGGAGTGGGATTTAACATGTTTTGAACACTCAGGAAATATTTCAACAGCAAGTCCCACA